TTTTAACAAGAATAATATAATTATAATGACATGTAGTATTTTAAATTTATAATATAAAGTATTATTATATAATTAACTTTTTTTATTTAGAGTCTACATGTGATATATATATATTTTTAATCAATCAAACTAAAAAGTTGTATTAATGGGGAGTACAAGGGGTATTCAATCCCAAACCTTATCTTAATATAAAGCACAATTTCGAACAAAAATTTAACAAAAACATGAACATAAGCTAAATGAGTAGATATATATATATATATACAAGATTATAGATAGAGATCCACTTATAATATTGTGCGCATTTAAGATCTTATCTATAATATTATATATATTCATTTGTTTAATAATATGTCATAATTGTGAGTTTTACAATTTTACATGGCATTCTAATTATAGCATTGCTGTTTTATTAAAAAAGAAAAAAAAATTAAAGAGATTAGAGCTAAAGTGATCAAAATTGTTATTGGCAAAAGAATTAAGACAACTATTTTCAGGTACAAGTTATTAACGGCTTTAAGTTTTCTTTTCCCTTTTTCTTTTTCCGAATGTGTGATATATAGCTTTAACTTCACTACTATAATATCTCTACTATACTACTACTTTCCTTTAGCATCTGTTCCATAGCATTTTTATCGACAATTTTTATTCAAAGCATAACTTGCTTCTTCTCAGTCCCCAAATATTTGTCCTTGTTAAAAAAAAACCCGTTAATTCATGTTTTTGGCATAACCTAAGTCTTTTTTTTTCCCTTTTTTTTTTTTTAGAAAAACACAAATTGAAAAGATTGAGACAAAAGCAACCGATGTTGCATTCAAACGACAAGTTCTTGATTGATGAATTTAACTTATTCTTTTTTTCCCCAAAAGAGACATCTTGCACTTCACTAATATACTACTACTTTCCACCCAAGAGAATGACTCAATTGGTTAAAAACTTAAAATTTCAAGTTAGATATTTTAAATTTAAATTTTAAATCAAGTGAAGATGGATTTGGAAAAAGATTATCTCTTCTTATATAACTCATAATTAGATTTACTCAAAAAAAAAAAAAAATACCGCTTTTCTTTAACATTTGTTTCCTATTACCTGGATGGTTAATTCCTTTAGTAGTCTACAATTTTTGATTCGAAGTGTAAGTTGCTTCTCAATCTTTACTTATAGTCCTAGCAAAGCAATTTAGTAGTCGACCCGTATAAAAAATAATTGATACACACTCTAATTTAATATACTCACCAACACCATTAATTTAGTCATTAATATCTATAACTTTAAGTTTTCTTGCTTTTAATTCAACTTTAAAAATAATAATTTCTTAATGAATGTGTTGTAAAGTATATTCAACTGGAAGGTGTCTATATCAGTGTCACGACCAGATATATAGTTTGTCATTTGAGGAGTTACCTACCAAATATGTGTACTTGTAGTAATTTTTTAAAAATTAGAAAACAAAAATTGTAAAGATTAAGAAATAAAAGGGATCAATATTACTGGCAAAATAAGACAAAGTCACTTTCAGATGGCAAAGAAGTTAGGACATTGATTGGTATACACTTCAATTCAATATACTATACAATTCATTCAATAAAAAATTATTATTTTTTAATTTGAAATTAAAAGTAAATAAACTTGAAGATATAACTATGCATATAGGATGCAAAAATCGATTGAATCAATTGTACTTATATTATATTTTAATAGTTAAATTATAATAAATATCAAAAAAATATGTTGAATTAAATATGTATCAATAATTTTCTAACAAGTTATTAACAACTTTAACCTTTCTTTTCTTTCCCTCTCAACACCCCAACTCCAAGCAACCTCCACAAAGTGATAGCCGAACTTCACTAATATACAATATTTGGATTTTTGTTATGATATAGGGTAAATTCCTTATTTGATCCATAGTTTTTATTTAAAGTGCAAGTTGCTTCTCAAATTTAGTTGCATTGTACTCTAGCAGCAAGAAGTTATTAATAGCATTACTCTAGTGTTTTGCGATTGAAACTGTAGAGTACTAACGATTGATTGGGAGGGTCCTCTCTAAATATCAGATTTTTTTTTAATTTAATAACTAATATTTTGTAATACAATTCGAATTACAAAATATTTTTTTATACAATAGCTTTAATGTTTCTTTTCTTTCTTTCTTTCTTTTTTTTTCGGAAAGTGATTGGTTGTACTTCCCTAATATATTACTACTTTTCTTTGGCATGTGTTCCACAATATTTGGATTTTTATTACGGTTAGCTAGGGTAAATTCCATTTTTGAATATCCACTTTTTTATTCAATGTACAAATTGCTTCTCAACCTTTACTTGCAATCCCTAACATTTAAGTAGTCGGTAAATAATTTGTCTTTTTGCGGAATTTCCCCCCAAATATTTATTTTTGTAAAAATTTATTTTGCAAAGATTAAGAAACGAAAGGGATTGAAGTTACTGACAAAATAGAACAAAGTTATCTTTAGCCAGCAAACAAGTTATAACGACCTTATTTATTTATTTATTTTTTTGGTTTTGTTTTTGGAAATAATTAAACAGCTTGAACTTCACCACTACTTAGACAACCACTTTTTTAAGCATGTGCTTCACAGCATTTGGTTTTCTATTATCCATTCCGTAAATTTTCATTTATGATCTACGATTTTTTATTGGAAGTGCAAGTTAGTTCTCAACTTAGTTGTAGCGAGCATTTTAGTGGTCAAATGGTCTGTCCTTTGAGGACTGCTAGTTAAAATGATCCTTAAAAACACACACACACACACAAAAAGGCAAAAACTGAAATGATTAATTAGAAACAAATGGGAACAATATTACTGGCAAAATAAGAAAATACTGTTTTCAGGCCGGAAATTGATTGGCACACCCTCCGATTCAACATATTTTCTGACATACTTCAGTTTTGTGATTAAAAATATAATATAAATACAGTCAATTTAATCGGTTCCTGTATTCTGTGTGCATGATTGTATAATTAAACTTGTCTGTTTTTAATTTCAGACAAAAAAAAATAGTGATTTTGTAATGAGTGTGTCATGCAGTGTGTTGAACCAGAGTGTGTACCAATCACTATCCTTTTAGGCCACACGCAACTGAGGCTACCAATAGCCCTGCAGTCACACTTCCAATTTTACATTTATTTAAGGAAAATGATTTAGGGACAATCTTTTTGGGTCATTTTTTTTTATAATTTTATGTCATTTAAATAATCAGTTGTTTTTATTCATTTCGGACCTGTGACGCTGAATGCATCTATTTATTTAATAACATACAAAAATTGTATAAAAAATTGCTCCTATATTACCACCATTTATTTAATAGTAACCAACAATCTACAATGAAAATTTTCGGTACCATTAGAGTAGGTGTAGAGACATTCTTACTGTGGTAAAAAAATTAATTTTTTAAATGCATCAAATTATTATCAAGAATAGCTCTAAAATCATATGAAAAGAGATTAGCTTCAAGTTGTGTAAATTTTGATCTAAAGATGGTTCAATTGTCTAAAAAATAAAAAAAGTATCAATACTTACCACTCCCTTTGTCCTAAAATTTAAATTTTTTTTCTAAATTAATT